CGGGGGCGGGGCCCCGCTCGAGCGCCGCCGGGCGCCGCCGGTTGGCCGCGCGTGACGCGCGCGGTCGCGTGCGGCCCCGCCCACTCCACCCCCCCATTCTAGGAGCCGGAGGGCGGGGCCGCCACGCGCGCGGGGAGGGGCGGGGCTGGGGGCGGGCACGCGCGAAGGGGGGCGGGGCGGGGCGCCCTTCCCGCCCCCTCAGCCCCGGCCCCGTCGGACCCTCGCGCCGCCCGGGGAGGGGGCGCGGGGTGGCTGCGCTGCCGCCATGTTGTGTCGGTGCGTCCCTGTGTCTGCCGGGTCCGACCCCCGCCCCGTCGCCCGGGGCAGCAGCGGTCGCTGGTTGCCGCTGGGAACCGGCCTCCCGAGGCCGGTCCGGACCAGTGGCGCTGCCCGAGCGGTTCCCGTCGCCCCTCCAGTCCCCGGAGGCCGCCGCAGCCCTCACAGCGCTGCGACCTCGCGCCGCCCGCCCTCACGGGTCCCAGTGGTGTCGCCGGATCCCAGTTTGTTTTGCTGCTACCACAGGACAGGTTTTCTCTTTTCCAGTGCTGGAAAGGGACAGTTCACGTGTCTCGTTTTATCGTGGGAACACTACACCTGAGCCTTCCAAATGCATTCATCCCATGCTCGCTCCGGAGGGAAGAACCGTCCAGTCACCCTGATGAGGAATGTCGTGCCTTGTGCAGGCTGCCCCCGCAGGGCGCCTGCCAGCACTGACCCTGTCACTGCCACAGGCTGAGAACCGTTCTAACTAACGCAGAATAGAGTAAGGGATTAAGAAGAAAAACAAAAAGGGTGAAAGTTTTAACCTCTTCCAACGCTGCTTTCCTTACACGGAGACTGTGCTCTCACAAGTTAAAAGACAACCTTCGTGTTACCTGTTCAGTCCCAAAAGTACAATAGAGATACCGTCCTTGGGGGAAGAAGTATAGCAGACTGCGACTTTTCTAGTTATTTCATTTGCATGATACCTAAATCTAAGTGCTTAGTCTCTAGAATATTGGAAACACATTTTTTTATATTAGCATGTACTTATCTCTATATATGGTGTTTTGACATTTATATGTATAAAACTAGTGTAAACTATTTATCATACTGAGATTTTGTCCCTCAGACCATATCTGATTTTACATGCCTTGCTAAATGCTGCTGGTAGGGTCAAATCATCCCATCAGCAAATTCGAGTCTACAAACCTCTGGTTTTATTAGAAAATAAGTGTAAACATAACAAATACATATATATAGTCTTCCATACCTCAAGTCTTCATTTGGGGATGCACTGCTTGATGCCGTATTTCAAATAATCATAATTGATCCTGGAAGATGAACTGATTTTTTTTTTTCTGGATGTAAACTCGAAACTCACTAGCCAAACCTGTTTGGTCTTTACATGCTGGTAGTGTTTTTTTTCATCTAACAATATTTAGTGTGTAAATTATTAAGTCACTAACAAATCCAAATATAAACAAATATACTGAATTAGTGTTTATTTTCTGCATTGCTTATTTCTCAAGACTTCTCCTTTGCTAATTTATAGGAAAACAGCATGATCCTTCTGAACGTGGACAGAATATTTTAATCTTTACTAGATGAAAACAATTTTAAAGCACAAAGAAGCAGTTAAATAGTTTAATACTCTCTTTCAACAACAGTGTAGTGCATCTGACATTGCAAATTCATAAACATATAATTTTGCTGTTTATAAATGGATCAGAAAACTTGTTCTGAGTTACATACAAGTTGCTATTTCTGGTTTAACTGGTATTCATTGGAAACTTTGAGGGTTGTTTGTGAGGGATAAAGGAAAGTTGAAGTGCCCTTTTATACAATGTGGCTGTAATTTGGTTTCACAGATTTACAAACTTTGGTTAAAGAAACAAAGGAAACTGGAAGGAAAATGCAACTGATTCCATTTGGAAGACCAAAATCTGTGGAAAAAAAAAGTTGAGGGATTATTGGTAAGTAAAAGCCAGGGAGGAAAAGCAGCTGAGTAAAAAATGGTTACTTCTGCAAGAATGACAGATATATCTTGTAGCTTTTAAAAAGCATGAGTTGTGAATAATCCATTTCAAGGTGCAGGGGAATGCAAAATATACTAGATGATGTGTTACAGTACATGCATTTCCTGTCTTTCCAGAGTTGCTACCTTCTGACTAAGCTTCAAAATAAACTACAGTAATTTTCCTGTGAAGACTTCATTATATATGACAGTGTAATTCATCAAAGATTCTAGTGCCTGGGATGCAAACACAGCGCCTCAGAGGAGTGCCAGTGCACAACGTCCCGATGTGCAGCAGGTCCGTTACAGAGGCTCCTGGGCAGCAGCACAGCACCAGGCTCTCAGTTTGCTGTGTGGTGTGAAGTGCCATTCCAACAATTACCTATTATTGCTGCCCTCCATCTAAGGATTTTTTACATCTCCCATAACAATGGTGTGTTGGAGTTATGCACAGACCTTTTATATGAGTGGACATAATATATTCCCCCTGTTTTCAGAGATATCAAGAAGCTTCATGATGATCACAGGCTCTATGGCTGCAGCGATGTCTTACACAACATTAAATTATCTAGTGTATTGATTTGAAGGAAGACTTGAATAGATGCAGGCCTTTTCTCTCCATAATGAGAAAGCAAACAACCACCCGGAATTTAAACAGTTTAGAATGAAAAGATAATCCAGCAACTCCATTGAAAGGTCTGGCTTACTAGGGCACTTCACTCAGAACTCTTTTATTTCAAACTACAGAGTAAGCAGCTGTTCAAAATGACAGCTATCTCAAAGTACTTGCAGATACTGCAAAATACTCTGGAGTATCTTTTCTTTATTTTTTACTGTCTAGACACTCATTCCCACATTCAGTCACTGACTCACCTTGTCACTTTCAAAATAGGGATCTTTGTCACTTTAACCAGGCAGGTCTAAAAGATGTGCTGAGAAGAATAATTTTAAGTTCTGCACCTCTATAATCCAGAGTTTAAATATTTATGTTCACATGCATCAGACTGACTGCACATACATAGTTCAGAAGCCTGTGTCCCAATGGCTGCAGTGGGCATGCCTGACATTTCTGAATATATTGGCTTTTTATGTTTTGGGGGGTATTCACAGAATGGGACAAACATTCAATATCCTCTGACTTCTTTCAAATTTGATCTTTTGGCAGCAAAGAGAACGTATCTGAAGAAACATGAATATATGGCTGGGCCATGTAAATGATGTATCCAGCCGACCATCCATCCACTCATATTGAGAGACCAAGAGGGAGGGACACTGTTTGCAGTTGTTTGAGGGCATGTAATACAACCTCAGTTCTATGCTCTGCCTTATGCAGACTTAAAATCTATTTTGCTCTGTTGTACTGCTTACTGATGGCAAAATGAAATTAGCATGGTTCTGGAAAAATAACACCTAAAATATGTGTTAGGTTAATATATCATATTTGAAGTGGGAGGGAGTGTCCTTTAACCAATAAAAAACTGCAGTAAATTGGTGTTCTAATTGTCTATGTATTATATAATTCCTGCTTAGAGTGCAAGCAAAAATGGTAAAAAAGCAACAAGATTCCCTTTTTTATAAATAATCATAAAATTTTTAATTGGGTTGAATTTCATGCACGTAACACGCTGTATGTGCTGCAGCATAACACAGAAATACTGGCTCTGTAGAATTTTTGCCTTTAGTAATCTGGCATTTTTCCTCAATTTCTCCTTCTTTTTAATTGCTGCCTGGGTATTACAGCCTTTGAACAGCTGAACAACATTGCAGATTATTTTGCTGAATCAACGTCCTAGAAAATATGCTTTGTCATCATGATATGGACATTTGCTGATTATTGCACTGAACTTAAATATTAAAAGCTGCACAAGTATTTTCAAGTTCTCCTTTCTCTTTCCTCACATCTGCAAGTATAGATTAAGGATGGTCATTATTTTTGTGCTTTAAAGTCAACATCTCTTTTTATCCTGATTTCATGCAGTATGTTGGTGTAAGAATAAGGTGACAGTGCCTATGTCCTTGTGTGAATTCTAATTAATTTGTTTCATTAATTTGGTTCTCATGGAAATTTTGAGATCTCTCGATGAAAATAATAGTTTGTTTTCATATTTGAGCAGTAGTTTTACCATAAACACATAATATCTTTTTCTTCAGTGCAGTGCAGTGATACTTTTATGTGTAGCTTGATTTTGTTCAATTAGTTGTGTGTAAGTATAATATAGCATCTGTCATCTCTTTATTTAAATGTATCATTGCTTAATGTGGATTTTCAGGTTTGTCTATTGGGAGGGTTTAGGTTGGGTTTTTTTCCTTTCTTCCTATTTACCATGCAATGATCAGTTTGCAAGTTTTATATTATACTAATCAGAATTTTCATGACATGGAAATGGTGGGCCCCTCAAAGTTATTCTTCTTTTTGTATTATTTTAGATAAGTATGAATCTGATAAGACTGCACCAAATGTAATATATCATTGTTTGGAAATTGGCTTGGACTTTTATTGAGTTGTCCTGTGTCTGATGTTACTGATTCAAATGATAATTTGCAAGTAATTATTTAGATTGGAAGAAAGGAACTGAAAACCAACTCCGTAATTTACTTCATCACGTCCCTTCAGTGCTGACTGTCCATCTGTTGATGGAGTTAGTTTACTGTAAGCAGTGCCAATCTGTAATAGATGAAACCACCTGAATGCCATTGGCAACTTTTGCATTCTTGTTTACTAAAGCTGCTGTTATTATAAATGAATCTGAAAGTGACTGTGGGAACGCATTGCTATGGTAACTGTGATCCACAACAGCAGCTGCTTGCTTTTCATTGCTGTTGCATATATACATTAAAGCTGACAATGCCTCTTCATTCAATTTTAACATGTGTAACCTGAAAAAAAGACATCAGCATTCCAAAAGCTACACATCTTATGTCAAATGAAGCCAATCTATGAGTTAGGTTTATTTTAGTCTTTTGGTTTCCGCCTTAGAGTTGTTGAAAACTATCTAAAACCTTAGCTTTAATGTGATTTTGTGCCATGAGAAGGGGTAACACAACAGAGGTTTTTCCATAGTGTTTTGTCAAATTCAAAACATTAGAATATTTTCCACTAATTCAGTTCCAGAAAATGTCTTTGTTATCAATATTTATCAGTTTTTATAGTAATTATATTCAACAGTTATGAAGACGTTTTCCTCCCTTGCCAGCCTTTCCAGGAGCAATCTGTAACTGAGGGTTCTGTTCCATTTTTTAATGTCCCATACTGTAAGAACTAAAATGTTGTAGTTGTCCTCCAGTTCTACAGTGTATTCTATTTTACATTTCAGAGATGTCTTTAGCTCTAAGGTATGCCATTCTGCTGTGCCATGGAGATACTTCCTAAGCAATGTGTTTCTTGGGCCAGTGGGCAGCGGAAATACAAAGTGTGTCCCTCATGTCAGTAAGAGTAAAATAATCACATTAATCATCTTAAAAATCTTGTCACAGAAGTATTTGATGTTATCCCTCCTTCAAAGATGAGGAAAATAGAACACAGAGAGATTAAAAATCAGATTGAAAACTCTAGTATTACTTGTAGAAGTAGAGTTTTGCTTGTCATAGAAAAGGGTCAAAAGAATTAAAATCTTGCCTTACGGTTTGCCATGCTGGTCCTGTTATCAAAAAAACCAAACAAACGATACACTAGGAGTGGAAAAGACTCAGAAAAGAGCGGAAGGTGATCAAAAATATAACTTCCTTACTAGGAGCCATTAAGTAAAATAGGATTGTTCAGTTTGAGAAAAAGATATGGAGGGATATGATGGAAGTACAAGATGGTGAGTGTGATGGAAACACTGCATATGTCTCATGTTCTTCATCTTTTCTACCACAAGAACTACAAGAACCCATTAAACCCCCTATAAATTAAGGTCGTAGGATCCTCTTTCAGAGCAATGAGAGCTGCAATGGGATATTGAGCTGTGGAACTCCTTGTGAAAGGGCACTGCAAATGAGCAGAGTTTCCATTGGTTCTAAGGAACACTGGGAAGGTTCACAATGGAGAAGTACATTGGGACTGAGGACACAGAAACTGTATCTGAGTTTGAAAGTCCCAGAGCTGAAAAGGATTGTTCAGGGCCAAAAGGTCTCAATCAGTATTAGGTGAAAATATATGTCCATCCTATTCCTACTGCTTCCTAGGCATCCTTTCCATGGATACATTTAACAACAGGGTGTTGGTCTACGTGGATATTTAGTTTGGGCCAGTGGGCTTGTCCTTCAGTGTCCATACCCTGTAAACAGCATCTTCTTTCAAAGTATAAAACAACTATAAGGTATTTAGTCTTACTATATTTGGTTTTAACACATGAAACAAATGCAAATATTTGAACATTGTTGGCAGATCAACTGTTTGACAGTAGGTCCATTATTATTCTGTTTATAAAACGTTGCATCTTCAAACGCTTCAACTTCAGTGTAAACTGAAGGGCTTAAACATTTGCTTTCATGTCCATTCATTGACATATTTTTTAAAACCTAATTGAAAGTGTGCTGCCACTGGGATGAAACTTTTAAAGAATGTAGAAGTTCTCTTAACTGCATTTTGATAACTTTCAAGAGTAGGAAACATAATGTGAAATTACTGAGCTCATTAAAATTAAGTAATACTGGAAGAAACAAACATTTGGTGACTCTGAAAGTCCTTACCACAGTAATAAGATGCACAACTGGCTTCCACAAAAGACATTACATTTTTAATATGATTTCTTTTCTGTTCCTTTATGAATATCAATTATGGTGCATTCCTACCACCCCTGCAGCACACACACACCATACCCCTGCTAGCAAAACTTTGCCACATAAACCCAATATAGAAATCTTTGAGGAAACTAAATATTTTGACTATGCTATGCTTGCCAAACAATCTTAAAGCTTCACCTGGTAGATAAATAACTAATTAAAAGAGAAATTAAATAAATTTTACTGTCATACAAAGTATGTGCTAGAACCATTTATGACAGCTAATGAGAATAGTAGTAATGAGAAATATAAACCTAAATTTTAAACTACGGTAACAGGAATTAAGTTTTTGCAAGGAGAGTAAAATGCGAAGAATAACAACAGAACATACTGTATGGCAATAAATGTGTTTAAAAATTAAGATTTGATATAGAAAAAATAGGACACGTGTAGGAATTGGTAGATAAATTCAAGCCTTAGCATAGGGCTGCCAATATAATTGTGTCTTTAAGTAGAGGTTCTGTAATACACTGCAAACTATTGTAAATAATTATAGTCAAGGGACTGCATGAATAATTATAATCAAGGGACCTTGCCATTTTAAGAATATTTGCTTAGGAAGGGAAGTTCTGAAATTGGCATCTAATTAGAAAATGCTGCAGTCAAGATTAGATATTCAGAGTAAAGGATTAACCATTGGAAGTGTTACCACGATCCGCTAGTAGCCTACATGCCCTTCACTAACAAAGGATACCTTTTTCCTGTGGGGACTCTTCCCACCTTGTTTTCTCTGCTTAGAGACAACTGAAGTCACGGACACCTCAGCTGTCAGAACTGCCCCAGTGCTCTGGACACACCAGTACGAATCCCTTGCAGGTTCCAGTGTAAATGATAAATGAACCACTCACTTTAAACACAATTATATCTGTTAAGTGAGAGCATCAATGAAGTATGGGTTAAAGCAACAAACAGTAGAGGGTTTTTTAAAAGGCTCTCTGAGTCACTGAGAACAGGACTACTAAAGGGAATTGAGATATTTTCTTCTGCTTTAATACTAAGTGTGGGATAAAGCTTTGATTTCTGTGGAATGGAGAAAATCCACAAAAGGCAAAATGAGGCTTTTACATCTTACAATAGTGGATAAAACCAAACTACTTTCATTACTCTTTTATGAAAGAGTACACATAGAGACACAACCTGGAGAATAATAAACCACACCAGGATACAGCGATTTTAAAAAAATTGTAAGGGCCGTGCTTTCAAAGAAAAGTCTGACCACATAAGAATTTAGCCCACCTCTTTCCCAAAAAATACAATTCAAAGAAGAATGTAATCTTTTTCTTAACTATTAAATATGTTATTTAGTCCAGAATCAGAACTATTACTATATAGGAACTATGAAAAGTTCCACATTGTCCAGTGAAATGGATTAGTTTAGCCTAGGGACAAATCTCTCCGAAGTATTTGTCTAACAAAATAGAAACTTATCTCTGGCAAGGAAATAATTCTCTCAAACAATTTTACTTTGTCTTATACAGGCAGATTTTTCTTTTTTCTTAGTCAAGCAACCACTGGAGATTCTTAAAAATTCAATAGAACAACCAAAATGTGTTGGAAGCAGAATTCTCTTTCAATATTGCATGTTGTTTTACAAGTTCAGAAAAAAGTTTTGCTGAGAGGTGGAATATCCTGTGTCAGTCAGCACCTACAAAGTGTAGCCAATGACTGTTGGTTCAGAGCTGACACCATGTCTGAGCAGGAAGGCACAGTTTGTTCCCATCTACCTGTAAAGCCCCGCAGAACCACTCCACTGCTGTCCCAAGGTCTTAATAACAAGTTGGTAATGAGTCTAGAAGGGCAGGATTGGGGCCACTTGAAAGTAGCTGAAAGCACCTCATGCTGGACATGCTTTCATCAGGGAAAAGGACTAGGTGATCTGACTTCCTTTGAAACCCAAAATAATCTGCAATTCTGTGGGTTTTTTTCCAATTCATAATTGCAGAATAAACTGCTGTTTGATTAAGCAGTGGATTTAGCTTAATGAAAGGGTAACTGTCTGAAATTTAACTGTATGCAGTAAGACCCCAAGCTGTATGATTCAGTACTCCTTTCTGGTCTAGGAAACTATGAAGCTCAGGAAAATGCAACCCATCTTTTAATGTTACAATAGTAGATATACCAGAAGTAGAAAAATGGATTCAATATATACAGTCATCTGCTCAACACTCTACTGAGGCTTTGTTGAGAAATAAATAACAAATTGCTGTCAAGTTGGTGTAACTTAAGAGCCAGTTCTAGCTAGTTTTTGCTTCAGCCAACAGTTTCACACATGGAAAACCATACAGTGCTTATTCTGCTTTGCAGATGGACATGATAACAAGGCCAAATGTTTGCAGACCTCCTAATAAGGATGACTAGTGTAAGGAGTATAATGGTAAATCATGCCTCAGACCTTCAGGAAAGTTGATTATTTCCACACAACTGGATGTAGGTAGATCACAGCCACAGCAAATTCAGCTGAAAGGTTGGCGTTTACTGGCTACTCTGTATTAGGAGACAGTGTGCTTTCGGTCTGAAGTTTGACCTAAAGATCACAATCTGGAAATATATGATTTCTAGCAAGTAACCATGAAAATGAGTAGAGATGGATTTTTTATTTAGCAATCCAAAGAAGCTTACTTTTAGGTATCTGAGGTCATAGGATTGAGCAGCAGTATTACAGAGTGCTGTCTGTAATTCTGGCACATCTTTCAAGTTCACAAATAATTCACATTTCAGAGCAAGTTTTGCAGCAGTCCATACTAATCACTGATACCTCTCATATGAGGGACAGAAGAAAAAAGGAAATGACCTCACCAAGCCAAAATATCAATAGTTTCAGTCTCTGATTCTGAAAACTCCTACAGAGACAAGGTCAGTTAAATTACATACTTTCTGTACTTTACTCCAGCTGACAATCTGCTGGTTATAATGCAAGAACACAAGGGCTCAAATAGATTTTCCTGCCATGCTGTACCATCTGGCACAGAGCAGTCTCACAAATGCTGCTTC